TCCCGTGTCGGGGTGCTCTGTGCGGGCCATGGGTGCTGTTTCAGGCTGAGCGCCTGCTGCTGGTGGGAACCTGTAGGCTAGGAGACTGACCCCTGGCAGGATGCCTTCCTATTAGGTCTTCAGGCTTTTCCCACACAAGAGGCTACTACGTGCCTAGAGCGGAGTTGGCAAGGAGGGTTTCCAGGGCTAATGGGATGGCGTGACCTGCTCTGGCTGCCAAGTTCTTACCATGAGGACTAACGGTGAGGCTGCGACCACGCTGCCTACCTGAGGAGGCCATCAGGATATCAGAGTGGGGGGCGATGGGACCTGGCCCCAGACTCAGCCTCTGAGAAGGCAGGGGGACTGGGGAGCTTGCAGACCTGTGGGCTCCATGAGTCCCTCCCATCCGCGGGCTGCACAGCCCTCCTCCCTTCCCGGGGCACACAGGATCCTCCAGGAGGCCGAAGCGAGGGCTGACGTTCCGGCGCTTTAAGCAAGAACATTGCCTGCCTCGGCCCCTTGCTGCCACCCTCTTCCCCGGCCCAGATGGAAGCTGGATTGTGACTCCTCCAGAATTGGTCCAGGGGGGCCTGGGGAAGGTCTGAGGGGACACATTGGCCAGCCCATCCTGGGGTCCCTTCTGTAGTCACCTCCTTCATTTTCCCCGCAAGCAGCCAAGCCGGGAAATGACGCATGCCTCCCTTGGGGCCCCGTTCCTCGCCACTGCAAACCCTGGGATTAATTTAATTACACACTCATCTCTGAGAGGCTGGGGCTCCGAGGCGCCCCGCGGGATCACGAGTTGCCCAAGGCTGCTGGGAATGATCATCCTCCCAGGGAGCCAAGCCTCGGGGGCCTCCCAGCCCTCCCCCAGAAGGCCTGTCTTGCAGCCACCCTGCCTTGCCGCAGGACACCTGCTCTGACTCACAGGCAGCCTGGGGTCTGGCTCCTGGGCTCCGGGCAGGGGTCAGAGCCTGGTCTGGGGAGCTGCATGTGGCAGAAGGAGAGGAGGCCCCTCTAGGACATTGGGAGGCAGCCCCGAATGTTCTTCACCTCCCGGGTATGGGCAGACCAGGCTGTCCCTGGGCCTCGGGAGGGGCCCCCAGAGCAGAGCTGGGAGAGTTCCAATGGGCTGTCCTCCGGCCACCCTTCTGCTTCCGTGGTGTCACCGGGGGGCCCTGCACTGCGCTATTGCCGTAATTTAATCTTTTCTCCTTTTCTATAAAAGAAAGACTTTTCCCCCTATTTTGGAAATAGATTATTTGAAAATTAATGAGAAGGGGGTGTGAATAAAAACCCCCTTGTTCCCTCCTGTGAGCACCACCAGCCACAGGTCCATGTGCCTCCTTCCGGAATTCACTTCAACGCAGAGGTATCTGTAAACGTCCAGAGCAGTTCTACCTCTCGCTTTGGGTCCGGAGCTTTCCACCGGCGTGTGAAGGCTTTTCCGTGTTGTCGAGAAGAGAACCTTCCTGAACATCTTCTGAGTGACGGCTGGACCCTCTGCTGCTCCCAGACAAACAGTTAATTCCATTTCTGGCCGCGGCCGTTATACTGTTTTTATTATTAGAATTTGTTCTTTAGGATGGTTGCCATTGGAAGCACCAGGTGATTTAAGATGTTTCCAGATTGGAAACATGCCCCATGCCCCTGTGGTTTGCAAAGCCCCCTGAAGCCCGGCGGTCTCAAGTGGACTTGGTTCTCTGAAGCTGCTTGGGGTTCGGGGCTGACGGAATTCGGCGGGTTGCGCAGGGACAGCCCCTTGGCCGGTGTCTGCATGTGGCCTGTGAGGGACGACAGCTGGCCCGTGGGCCCTGGTGGCCGTGGGTGGGCAGGTGGGCTGTTGTTGGGTCATCTGTCCCCCATGGCGTTGCCTCTGCCCCTTCTCCTTGCTCCGGCCCTTGGCCCCCCCCTTCTGTCCTCACTGCCATCCTGGGGAGTGTGGCGGACCCTGCTGGGGCCGGGGGATCCCCTTGCTCTGATGGGACCTGTGGTGTGTCAGACGTGCCTGCTGCCCAGTGAGGGTGCTGGGGCCGGTTGGTGCATCTGCTGCCTCCGGTCTGGTCCACGACTCTGGCTGCAGTCTGACCGCGAAGGGAAGTGCTGGGAGCTCCCTGTTGACGCCAGAGAGATTGGCGGAGGGAGCTAGAACTGTCCCTGTACCAGGGAACTGGGGGCAGGGCAGTACGCCCCCCTTCCTGTGGCTCAGTGGCCACACAGGGCAGTGAGTGAGTGGCCTGGGTGCACAGAGGGGACGGGTCCTGTCCTGTCCTGGGTCCTCTCCTGTGCCTGGCAGCGTGGGCCCATGGTGGGGGCTGCGGAGAGCGGGGTGGGGGGGGTGGCTTGTCGTGGCGTCCAAGGGCCGGGCAGTCGTGCAGCGTCCCGGAGAGAGGAGTGCACAGGAACCTGTCTTCTTTCTGGGACCAGTGTCTCTCAACGGCTCGGTGCTGTCAGCTCCGCTCAGAGTGGCCAGACCCTTGGGGTCCTGAGCACTGACCCACAGGGGGGTGGGGGGTGGAGGGTGGAGCTGGATGGTGGGGAGAGGGTCTGGCAGGCTGTGCCCGGGGTTCCCCAGCTCACCTGGCAGCAGGGGGGGACACTGTCCCTCTTAGCCTCCTCCTCTGGAGAGTGGGGAGGTCTGCTGGACCCTTGCCAGGTGGGTGGTGGGTCTCCCCTCCCCCACTGGGCCCACCCGGAGGGAGACCACGCAGGGGTCTGCTAGGTATTTGGGTCTCCTTGTCTTAACGTGTGAAGGTGAGAGAGCTGGGGGGATCTTGGTCGTTTTTGCCCTTTTTCCCCAGTGGGTGTTCCAGGGAACCCTTCTTGCTGACAGCACGCAGAGGAGCCAGAAAGGTGGGGAACCCAGGCTGCACCCCATCTCCCTCCCAATGCCTGGGGGTGCCTGGCACACCCTGAGCGCTGAGGCCTTTCCCATCAGGCGCGTTCTCATGGGAGTGATGTGGGAAGAAGTGTTTGTCCGTCCCGGCTGGCTGAGTGAATGGAGGCCCTGGGGTGGGCAGGGGAGGCAGGCACGGGGCATGGACTGGGGTGACCGCTGGCTGGAGAAGGGTGTGAGGAAGGCCTTTGTACAGCTGCGGCCACCGGGCTGGCCAGGGTCCCCCACCTGGTCAGGTGGGATCTGCCGATTGCCAGGCATGCACTCAGGGTCCAAGTGGCGAGGCGGCTGGGGTCACCTCCTGCTGCCCTGAGTTGTGCCGTGAACAAGCCCCTTCAGCTGTCCGAACCATGATTTCCTGGCCGTCAGCGGGAGCTCTGTAGAGCTGGGGGGCTCAGCGAGGTGGTTTGGGGGGCACAGCCCCCTGCTGTGGGGGGTTCCCTAGAACCCCCCGCCACCTAGCCCAGCTGCCAGGTCCTTACCAGTGCCATCCCCGAGGCTGAGGGCGGCAGGCCTGGTGGGGAGTGGCCCTTCTCCCTCTCTAGAAGGCCCGGCATTCCTGAGTGCTGACTGGTTGCTGACCTGGGGCGGGAGGAGCCGGTTGTGTAATTCCCCAGCAGCTGGTGGGTGGGCCCGGCCGCCCCCAATTCCTGCCCCGGGCTGGGCTGCTGCTCCTGGGCCTGGTCCAGCGCTGGGTGGGCGGAGCTCCTGAGGGGCCTTGGACAACAGAGTGCCCCACAGCAGGTCGCGCACCCGGGCGGAGGGGCACCTGTGTGCAAAAGCGGGGGTGCCCTCAGAGAATGGCCTTCCCGATGGGCAGGAGCTCTGAGGCCCAGGCCGAGCCCCCGTGGAGTGAGGTCATGGCATTCTGGGCGGGGACCCGCCAGGTGAGCACCAGTGGGAGGGGCATGACATCCGTGTCCCCAAGGGCCCGGGCTCATTGGCTGTGCCAGCTGTGTGCTGGGGATGGACAGAGTCTTCATTTTCCTGCCATTGCATGATAGCCCAGCGTGTCCTTGCACAGCACCCATCCCCTTTGCCCACCCCGGTGTGTTCAAGGTCCTATGGGGTCCGTCTCCCCAGGCTGCGGTGTAGAGAGGTGGCTTTGGTTGAAATTCTGGTGACTTCTGAGCTAAAAGACTGGTGTAATGGGCTCTGTGTCCTGTCGGGTGGAGGTGGGTGCAGGAGGGGAGCCGTGACTGGCCCAGTGGACGGGGGTGTAGGCCGGTGTCTGGGCCGTGTGAGCTCCAGTGAGGTGTTGGTATGGACGAGAGGCGCCTCGCCTGTCCCATACTGGGTGGCTGCAGACCAGGCAGGGAAGTGCCCCATGCGTCCGGCTTGGGACCTGATGTCCCACCTGCACGACTGCACCTGCCGAGATGGTCTGGTCCCCTCGCCTTCCCTGCCCCGTGGTCCGCATCCATTCCCGGGCCCCTCTGCTCCTGGTTGTCCTCGGGTCCCACCCCGGTAGTCCCCCTCATCCCAGCCTGGCTTGGAGTGACTCAGTCCTTGCTTTTCTCCTCTGCCGGCCGAGCTGATCTGGAAGTTAGGGTGGTGGAGTTTTGCCTGCCTGTCTGATGGGTTTGTAAAACTGGTCAGTGTGGTGAGGGAGGGTGGATTTCAGGAACCCTGCCGCATTCCGAAACTGGGGGTGTGTGGTTGGGGAGTGCGTCACTGGCTTGGCCTGGGCCCCGGCCCCTGGCTGCTCTCGTCCTCAGAGTCTGTCAGGAAGGATGGCATCTCACCTGCGCTATGGACAGCCCCCTCCGGCTGCAAATTGTTGAGACGTTCCTGTGTGTCAGGCGCGGGGGAGCAGAGGAACCCCGGACACTGACCCATTATGCTCAGCAGACTCATTTTCCCTACCGTGCTGGGGAGGGGGCTCCCTGGACCCCATGCCCTGCTGCACGCTGCCCCCTGGCTGTGAGTGTCCCGTCCGGGGATGCTAGGGAGTACTCTGTGGATGTGAAGCAGCACAGAGGCCAAGGGAACAGGCAGGGAACCCCCGTCCTTCCTGCAGGTCCTGGAAACCCTGGCCCAGAGGCTTCAGGCAGGCCTGTGGGTCTCTCACTGGAGACCGAGTTTGCCGCGATTAACGTGCTCCCCACTTGTGTCGTTACAGATCCCTCGTCCACCTACATCAGGCAGCTGGAGACCAAGGTGAGGCTGCTGGAGGCTGAAAAGCCCCTCGTACAGGTAGGCTGGCTGTGGGGAGACAGCAGGGGACAGTGCTCACTGCACGCTGAGCTCCAGCATGAGCCCTGCCCCCCGCCCCCACTCCAGGGCCCACCCATGTCCCAGCTGACTGGGGTCTTCCTTCCCGCCTCACTCCCATAACTGCCCACCTGCCCCATAGCCATCCGAGGCATCCCCTGGAACTTTGGGGTCATGGACCTAATCCTTGCTCCATGGCCTTGGGGTGTCCCCCGGTGGTCTGTGAGCTCTTGGGGCCAGCACTGGGCCTGTCCCAGAGATGGTGTGGAATGCACAGTTGCTGAAGAAGGGGCTGTTTTGGCCCTCAGGCAGGCAGATTGAGGCTGGGAAGTGGATGGCACACCCCCACTGTCACCCACATGGAGACCTCCCTGCTCCTGCCACCTGATCCTGTCCTGTCTGGGGCGCACCTTGTACCCTCCTGGGCCTGGCCGGTGCCCACAGGCAGATGAGGCTCTGTCTCATCCCCAGCACGTCCGCAGCACAGGGATGGCAGGTTAGAGGCTGGAGGATGAGGGCAGTGCACGGGGGAGGCCGGGCAGGGGGACAGGCGGCTGTAGTCCCGCTGAGTGTGGCTGGCACAGAGGGGTCGTGACCGTTAGGACGAGGGCCTTCTGTGGTGTGGGTGGGGCGGGGATGGGAGGCTGCAGTCAGCCCTGCACTAGGTCCGGGGGGCCAGCTGGCTTGGCCAGCCCCTTCAGCCTCTCTCTCCCTTGTACCCATCCTGGGCTTAATCTCCCCTCCCCCTCCGCTGCCCTTCCCCCCCCCCCCCCCATATGTGGCGGCCAGAATGCCCAGAGCGTTTCTCTGGGAACCAACCCTAGGGAGGGCTCAGCTGCCTGGCTCTGTTGCTAGGCGACCAGCAGGCTTGGCGCCGCTGTCCTGGCTGTCCTGCTCGGAAGCCCGCGGCACCCTGTCTGCCCGCTGGGCGGCTGCTGGGAGGCTTGGGGCCCCGGCACGGAGCATAGCCCCCACCACTGCTGCCCCGCGCCTCGCCCCTGCGTGGGCTGTGTGGGCTGTGTGGGCAGTTCCCACAGCCTAGCAGGATGGGGCAGAGTGCATGGTTCACCCCCGACCCCCACACCCCTGCGGCCACCGTGCCTCCGCTCAGGTGTAGAGCCAGGCATCGAATTGCAAGGCTGGTTTGGGAACCTTATATGGTTTTCAGTCCTGTGTGGCAGAAGGGCTTGGCCACCGTCGTGCTAGCTCTTTTGGCTCCTTGGGGCTGGGGTCTCACCCGGCTGGGGTCTGGGGCACCTTCCATTCCACGGGGGCCTGGCGTGGGTTGGGGATGGGGTGTGGGCTGGGCTGCGGGAGCGGAGGCCGAAGTGGCACCAGGAGGAGTCGGGGTGGTGGGGGCCGTCGTTAAGGCTCAGGGGCCTTTGCTTTGGAGTAGGCGCCTGTCCTGCTCGCTGTAGCCACTGGACGGCAGAGTGGAGGCCAGGACCACGATCTGGACCCGAAGCCTCGGGTCAGTGGCCTTGTGAGTCTTTCCCTGTCCCACTGTTGTTTGACGGTTCCCTTGGAGAAGCGGGGTGAACACCCGAGCCCCGAGTTCAGGATGCTGTTTACCAGGTTGTTCTATGGTCCAACTGGGCCTTGCTTGTGGCCTCCTTTCCACGAAGACAGGAATGTCCCTGACCCCATGGCCCCTGCTGTCCTGGCCACATTGTCCCATTGGGAAAATACACCCCAGTTACCAGTGGTGGACCTGGCCGCGGACTTGGGGGAAATGTGGCCATGCTCAGGCCACAGAGGGGTGGCCCTTCTACTCCGTCCTGCCTGGGGGCACCCCAGGGTCACAAGGGAGGCCCCCCATAGCTGTGTCTACTGGTCCTATGCCCACATGTACAGAGGGGGAGGTTGTCAGGGTGCCTGTGTTTGGGCATCTGGGGGCTGGCAGCTACCTGGGCAGTGGGTGTCCTGCCCGCCCCCCTCCGCCTCCCCCATGCCTGCTCAGACCTGCTCGCAGGGGTCAGACGTGGGGTCGTGGCCCCGAGGCAGCAGCAGAAGTTCTGTCCGCCTCCTGTGCCCACGCCCGGCCTGCTGGGGAAAGATGTCTGTCAGATGGGGGGATGCAGACCCTCGCCGGGATCCCGGCCTGCTGCTGCAGACGGTTGGGATGTCGGCACAAGATCGAGCTTTTCCCTGGCTTACGGCCATGAGCAGGCGAATGCTGGGAGCTCAGCATCCGCCACATAGGCCCCAAGTCTCTTATTTCCCTGATAGAACTTTCCTTTCTCCTGAATGAACGGAGCCTCGCGAAGGCAGGCTGCCGTGATGGTAGTTGTGTGGGCTTGTGTGGGTCCTGGGGGCACCCGGGGCCCTTCTCCGGCCTCTTCCTCCGTGGGGCCTCTGCTCAGGGTCTCCCAGTGAGCAGGTGTCAGGGCCACACCCAGCACCCCAAGAAGGGGGCAGCCTCGTGGTGCTGGGACCTCGGCGCCCCACTCCCCTCCCAGGGCCTTGTGCACCTGTCCCCTTGTTGCCGTGGAAGTGTCGGCCCTCCACCTACAGTCTGCAAAAGCTCCCAGGAGCCATGACCGTTGGCAGGATGTCTGTCCCTGTCACCTGCTGTCACCAGGGCCTGGCCTTGAGGGTGGGTCGGTGGTGCTGGCTGCAGAGGCAGACGCCACTGTTCTGAGCCACGCAGGAGAGATGGGAGACACGGACAGCGAGGGGGCCCCCTGGCCTGCTCCTGGCTTCCTGGTGGCACTCACATGTCACTTGCTTCTGTATTCCTGTGGCGGCTCAGATGGCACCGCTCTGCTTCCTGGAAGATGGGTGTGCACACACGTTACGTGTAACGGATGGTCCTAGGGGCATGGGGGTGACCGGGCCCAGGCCTGCCCACCTCCTTCCCCAGCTAGCAGGACTCGTGTGCACAGGGAGCTGCTGCAGGCCCACAGTGACAGTCCTGGCCCCATTCTAGGGGAGTCCAGAGAAGAAGGGGTTTACTTTTTCTTCTTTCTCCTGGCCTCCAGCTCAGGCATGGCCTCCTACCGTCAGCCTCCCCAACCACCCGCAGGGGGCTCGGCACTTAGTCTGGGCTCTCAGCCCTGTGAGCTGCTAGTTGCTGAGATCCTCCCTTGGGGAGCCCAGCCCCCGGTCTGCTGGACCATCAGCCACTCAAGTACTGGGATGCTGGCTCTCACATCGGTGAGGTCACATCGGCCTCTCCAGTGCTTAGCACAGCTAGACTGGGGTGGATACATCTTGGGGAGGCCCTGGCCACCACCCACCCAGAGTCCTAGGCCAGGAGGGAAGGCTGGCTGTTGCCCAAAATAAGGAAGTTCTGCTTCACTAAGGTAGTGAGTGTGCCATCTTTGGAGGTAATCAAGGGATGGATTTGGGAATCCTGGAGAGAAAGATTTCTGCCTGGACCTCATGGGCCCTGGCTTGTCTGACTTGATGATGCTGGCACATAAGTCTCCTCACTGAAATCAAATTGCTCAGAAACTTCCAGCTCTGCAAAGAGCCGAGAGCACCTGCCTTTTGGCAAAAAGAGGGAGAGAGCAGGATTCGTCTTCGAACCACCTTCGGGGGTGTGGCTTCAGGGTTTGGGCCAGAGGGTGGAGATCCTCTGCGGCCCCCACTTCCCACTGCCCCCGCCCCTCCCCTCATGGCCTCTATTTAACTCTAAAATAGCTTTAATTAAAAATGTGCTAGCGTGTTCACAGAACTAAATTACTATATTGCAGTTCGTGTTTTCCTTCTCGCGTTGGCTTTAAAATTTCATCAACACAGCTGCTTCCTCTGTGATGATTCATTTCGAGCCCCCTGCACACGTTATTATTTTTCTGGGGGATTCTGTGCGTGGCCGGGCTGGGATGGGGGTGGCTGGCATTGACGCTGGGGCTTGGCTCTTGGTTCCCTTGGTTTGCCCCCCTCACTGGGCTGATGAATGAAGCCTCCCTGTTTGCCCAGGAGCTGAGAAAACATGGGCTGCCATGGAGGGGAGTGGAGGCGGCCGTGCAGGCCTAGCCCGCTTCGTCCTCACCTCTGTGTCCCTAGATGAACGGCTCCTTCGTGGCCCTTGTCTGCGTTTTGAGCCATCTGGGCTGGGGGACAGGGGAATAGTCTGCCACCATCTCAGCCCATGCTGAGACCTTGGTTCTGTCATCTGAGTCCCCGAGGAGGACGGGTGATCCCGAGGGCTGATTTCCTTGCCCAGGCAGGCCCTCCAGGGAAGCTGGCCTCCGGCATTTCCGAAGTACTGTGTTCCCACACAGGTCGCTGGCTATCCAGCTCTGAGCCATCCCTGCTCTGCCTGTTTGGCGTCTAGGGTGGTGGTCACATCCTGTTCCCTCTGTTGTGGTGGGGTGGTCTCTGCACCCCTGGAGGGCTTACATTATTTTGTTAGCAGAACCTTCCAGATGGTCCGGCCTCTCCCTGAGCCAGGGAGGAAACCTCTTCTTTCCGGCATCCGAGCAGATGGTCTGGTAGCAACGTGGGCAGAAAGAGACGGGGAATTCTACCTCTGTCCCCGAGGCTTAATCATTGTCCACTGTGAACCCCATGCTGGGTGGCAGAGCCACAGGGCCAGGTTCAGATCACCAGAGTGCTGCCTTACCGGCTGGGTGGTGTGGGGCCAGGGGCTTCACCTCTCTGGGCCTCAGTTTTCTTGTCTGTCAGATGGGGACACTAAGAGCGCTTGCCCCAGGTGTAAAGGGACGACGATCCTGCAACGCCCAAGGACCAGGGCTGGCCAGCGGTGAGAGCCGTGGGCCACCTGGCAGCCGGGTGCCCTTCTTGATCCTAATTTATGTGCAAACAACAGAGCCCTGGAAAGCTGAGGAGTTGCCCAGACTCCCCCAGCCTGGGTGGGATTTGGTTTTCATGAGTCTGTGCCCCCACTCCAAATCCCTCACCCCTTCTTGCGGGGTCCTGCGCCTGTCCCTCGCTCACCAATTGGAATAAGTACTGGGCTGTCATGGGGACCTGTGAGGGCCGATGGTCACCGTGGCGGGTGAGACCACACGCTGTCCTGTCCGTCGCAGCCACGTGGTCCTGGGCAGCAAACACACCCCTAGGTTTGAAAACTGGGATTTAGGGCCAGAAATGGCGTAGGGCATTGGGATGTGGTGCCATCTCTCTGCGGAGAAGTCCTATTAGCCACATGTGGGACCTCCCTGGCCCACTCGGAGCACTCACGAGGCAGAACTTTCTGGGCCCCCAGCCACGAAGCAGCCATGTCCTTCTTGATGGTCTGCAGATGGGTTCTCTGAAAATTAAGGGAGATTAAGTCTGGCTGGTAGGTAGTAGCAGGACGCCCTTGTGAGCAGCCTCGAAGTGCCCCTTCCTTGCCTCTGCCGGCTGCTGTGCCGGGATCTTGGGGCCCCTCCAGGCCAGTGTAGTGGGCTGGCCTCTCGGGTCTGCGGGGTCCCCGCGTGAGCCCTGGGAGGGCTGTGAGGGGGCTGGGTGCCCAGTCAGCCCGTGGAGACACGGGGGTTTCTAAAAACATGGGGGCTCTCCGGAGGTGCCTGCCCCAGCCCAACTGAGGTCCTGGCAGCTTTGGGTGAACAGGTGTCCAGGAAGGGGAATGGCGGGGAGGGGGGTCGTGGCTGGCATCTGCTGGGTGACACCGCTCCTCTTCCCTTCCAGCTGCCCCGTCCCTACGGCCGCCCGAGAAGCTGGCTTCAGGTAGAGCTGCCTGGCGGGACGTGTTTGCAGTGGTGTTTGGGGTGGGGACTGCTTTGAGTGCTGTGTGCTGCTCTGTCTTCTGCGGGTCCCCTCCTGTCCCTTCCTGGGAGCTGGCCGCCACCAGGGTGCCTTGGTTCTGCCCTCTCCGAGCTGGCATTCACGGCAGCTTTGCACACAATGGCAGTAGAGCGGGGACCCACGGCTTCCCACGGCCCTTCTCACCCAGCTCTCCCAGCCCGTGTCGGGGGGTCTGAGTGGTCTCCGGATGTCCCTACATCAGGGCTCACCGCGGAGCCCCCACAGCAGTCCCCGTGTCACCTGTCAGACGCGGCCTCCCTGTCGGGTGCACACTGGAGGTGCCCCTGTGGCACGTGGTCCCACAGGGACCCAATCCCTTTGGGGGCAGGAAGGAGGGGTGAGGCTAGCTGCCCGGAGTGAGCGCGCCCGCAGCCGCTGCCCAGCCAGGAAGCCCCATGTAGGCAGGTGGGGGAGCTGGGCGGGGTCCTTCCTCTCTATCCTGACTTTTCTGCTCCAGCACCCCTCTGACACCCTGGGTGTTCCCCAGGAGTCCTCTGGAAGGCGATGGCTGGGGAGCTCGCCGCAGGACCACGGGGGTTCAGAGAGGCTGGGGTAGCCCGAGTGCACGGCGGCCCGGAGCCTGGCGGCGGTGCAGTGACAGCCCTGGATGGAGGCTCTGTGTCCTTAAGTGGAGTTGGGAGCCCTGCGGCCACCTGGGTCTCTCCCTCCCGGCCGGAGGGGGCAAGTCTCTGTCTGCACGTGGTGCTTCTTTTACTTTTAAGGATGTGGGAGTTCCGCCACTCTGTGTGACAGATCCTTTCTCCCTGTGTCCTGAGGGACCCATGTTTGGGATTGTGGCTGGGCAGACATCCTCTCCCTGCTTCCTGAACCATCCCGAGCCCCCCGCAGGTGCAGGCCCAACCATCCCAGAAGGCCCTTTCAGCCCCACTGCCCCTCCACGTTAAAAACCGCGGGATTTCATTCTTCCAGGGCACAACAGGCGCATCCCAGGATTTTTAATTTGGGTTTAAGTGCAATTATGGTCCCTCATTTTGATGCATCATTAGTCACATTGCCCCTAATGAGAGATTGTGTGTTTTTCCCGCCAGCTTTGTGGGTCGCTAATAAAGTTCTGTGGACGTGCGAATATTTATAGATGATCGCTGAAGGCAGGGGTGGGAATTGCACGCGTTGATTTAAACCCTTCCCCCGCCCCCCTGTACACACACATCCTCCCCAGGAATTTATCTGGTGTGGAGGGAGGAGGCAACACAAACCTGCTTTGTTTTCAGTAACAGCACGTGAGTTGCTTCTGAACCTGCTGGGTCCTGGGCCAGAGGAGCTGTGTGGGAGGTGAGACTCAGCCCAGAGAAGGATCTAGACGGCGAGGGGGAAGGGCAGGGCAACGTCCAGCTGTCCTGGTGCCAGGGGCTGGTCGGAGGGAGCGGTGGCTCAAATCCTTGGCCATGTGGCCAAATGCCAGTGTGTGTGAGCTGGGCTGAGCCTTGCACCTGGTCCCTTTTTGCCAGCCCGGTGAGGCCGGTGAGGCGTGTTCCCGCAGGATGGGGTCAGAGGGCCCGACAAGGACCTGGTGGCACTGGACGCGGACGCTCAGTGTCATTGGGTTTAGAACACACACTGCTGGAGAAGAGTTTGGAACTGTCGCAGACGCCCAGCCAGGGAGATAATTGCCTTCGCCTGAAGCTGGGTTGACGCCCCCGCCCACCGTGGGCGAGTCAGGGAGGCACAGGTGCTCTGATGGGCAGAGGAGTCCCCCAGGGTGGGCAGTGAGGGTCAGCACTGTGGCCTCTTTCTGGTGCCTGGTGACGGGGCGCTCTGCGAGATCGGACCTTGGGCTGGGCCAGGGAGGACTAACATGGCTCTGGTTAGAGGCCGTAGTCTGGGGGTGGGGGGCAATCACATATCGAGGGTTCTTGGGGATACCCTGCCACGCTTCAGGGGCCGTCCTTGGACGGGGCGTCCCCACTTCTGTCCTGTGCCTCTTGGTGACCTTTGTTCACACTCAGGTTCTCCTGGAGGCCATGGGAATCGTTCTGCTCTGGCCAGGGTGCCTGGGTGGGGGTGGAGAGCAGGCGGTGAGGGCTTGGAGCTGCTGTCGGGTGTTTGCTCTGGAAGGCTCCACGCACCTGCCTGCCTTGCATTTTTACTCCGGACCCCCAGATCCTTACAAGGTGCTGCTCTGTGCCCTCTGACCTGGCCCCTGGGACCGAGGGGTTGGGCCTGGGTCTGATGGGGACAGGAGAGATGGCAGGGAGTCGGTGAGGCTGGAGACTCAGTGAGAAGCGGGTCTGGGTCCGGCAGTTGGTGGGAGGGGAGCATGCTGTGAGTGCATCCCTCCGGGCTGGAGGGGAGTGCGGGGGGGCTGGTGTGTAGGGGGAAGGGGGCCCCCCCCCCCCCGCCCCCGCGTGGTTGTTGAACTGTCTTCCTCACCAACCCCCTGCCCTCCAGGCTTTGTTTGGGGACTTATGGGACCTTCTGTGTGTTTTGTCTGTCCCCAGCATGCCCTCAGATCCTTTGAAGTCGAAAAGGATGTCTGGGCCAGAAACACCCCCGGGCTCTTGAGTGATGCCGAGGGCCGAGAGGCCATGGCTCCTTCTCAGAGGGCCTGTGTGGGATTAAGCGTGACCCCTGGGTCCCCTATCTCTGCTGATCCCAGCCTCCAGCTTCCAGGGGCATTTGCTTTGCCCTGAGGGAAATCACCAGTGGCCAAATATATGTCCATTCACTCCTTCCTTCTGTCCCTCCCGCAGATCCCCCCTCCCCGCTTCCTAAGCAGGCACTGGTTCTTGTGGACATAGAGGGGAGGACACAGGGCTCACATTTGGGAACTCCTGTCCGACGGCAGAGGCTGAGGGCAGCCTGAGCACCTCACAGGGACAGGCTCACCTGTGAGAGGCGGGAGCACCCCCCGGGCCTGGAGGGAGTGTTCCCCAGGCCAGGCACGGGGGCCCCCAGTGCTGGATGCTGGAGCAGAGGAAGGAAGGTGGGCGTGGGAGGCCATACTCATTTACTCGTTTACTCTGTTCGAGAAACGCTGATAAAGCATGCACTGGGGGGCAGCTTGAAGCCCTCCGGCCTTGTGGCACCAACACATGGTGGCAGTGAGGACCGATGGGGCAGGGAGAGGGGAGGGAGGGTGCAGCCCACTGCCGGTGCCCGGGGAGGGGCAGACAGGAGCAGCTGACCATGTCCTGAAAGAGCACGGCCCTTGGTCCCCTCAGCACAGCCACTCACCTCTAACCTGTCCCCCTTCCCTCGAAGCAGGCGGGCCCTGGAGAGTTCCGGACGCTGCGGAAAGGCTTCTCCCCATACCACTCGGAGTCCCAGCTGGCAAGCCTCCCGCCCTCCTACCAGCACTCGCTGCAGAACGTAAGAGCCCCTCCCTAGGGCCACACCACTCACTTGGAGACCCCGTGCCTCCAGGATCCTTGGTCCACATTGTAGGGTAGGGGTGAGGCTCAGATCATCTCGTGACCTGCCGGGGCCAGGGGAGGCCCAGAGGTTCTATAGGAACACTCTTGGGGAGCTGCTAGGGCAGCAAGCCCTTGCTGGGCCCTGGAGGGACCCTCCATGCCTGACGCCGCTGGGGGCCCAGATCTCCCGCACCTGGTGTGTCTTCTGTGAGGTTACCTGCAGGTCCTGGGAGTTGGGGGACAGGTAGCCCACAGGTCAGAGGATCCCAAGGTGAAATGGGTGACCCTGTGGGGCAGGGACCTGGACCCCCTTTCCTCACCAGGCTGGCTGTCCCTGCCCTCCCTACCTCTGTCTCTGTCCACTTCACTCCCTGCCCACTTGAGTCAGAGGCTGCGTGTCTGCCCAGGGCCCCCGAGCTTCTCCCTGACGAGGGTCACTGGCCAGGGTGCCCTGGGGCAGGGTCCAGCAGGCCCTGGGACTCCAGGCCCCGTGGAAGGAGCTGGCCGCGGAAGGGGGCTGAGTACCAGTCTGCCGAGAGCCGGGTCAAGGCTGTTGACAGTCCCTGGGGGGAGACTGGTCGTCTGCCTTTTTTCTTTTCGGGTCAGTTGACTTTATTTATTTATTTTTAAAAACATTTTTAAATTTATTTATTTTGACAGAGAGACAGCAAGAGAGGGAACACAAGCTGGGCGAGCGGTAGGCAGTGGGAGAGGGAGAAGCAGGCTTCCTGTTGAGCAAGGAGTCCAGTGCAGGGGTTGATGACTGATTTAACTGGTTTTTAGCATATTTACAGATTGCTGTAGTTATCACAATAGAACATCTCCTTACCCCACAGAGGAACTCCGCCCCCTTTAGCAACCCCTCCCCACTCTCTCCTGCCTTGGCTGGGCGACCACTGGTGTGCTCCTGCCTCTGCAGACTTGCCCATTCTGGACATTTCTTTTTTCTTTTTTTTTTTTTTTTTAAAGATTTTATTTATTTGACAGAGAGAGATCACAAGCAGGCAGAGAGGCAGGCAGAGAGAGGAGGAAGCAGGCTCCCTGCTGAGCAGAGAGCCCGATGCGGAGCTCGATCCCAGGACCCCGGGATCATGACCTGAGCCGAAGGCAGAGGCTTTAACCCACTGAGCCACCCAGGCGCCGCCTGGACATTTCTGAGCGGCAGAGTCCTGTAGCAGGCCACCCTCTGTGACTGGCCGCATCCGCGGGGTGCTGTGTTTTGGAGGCGATGCCGTGGGCTCGAACCTCCTACCTTTGTGATGCCGGGCGATACTCCATGGGTGCAGGCACCCCCTCCCCCACCCCTGCTTAGCGGCTGGACATCTGGGCGGTGTCCATGCTTTGCCTGGCGTGGGGAGCACCGCTGCGGACGCTCTGGACGAGTGGTCGTGTGGTCGTGTGGCTTCTGTTCCCTGGGGACACACTCGGCTCCCCACTTTGGGCACCAGCTCTGGAGCCCCAGAGCCCGTCTGAGCCCTGCTGTGAGCCTTCCGTCAGACCCATGGCTCTGCGCTCGTCTGTCACGTGGAGGTGCAGGAGGATACAAGTCAGGGGGTTTCTCGGGGGGGGGGGTGCTGGGCGCCGAGGAAGCGGGAGGTGTCGCCGGGCCGGCCCTCCCGCCACAGCCGGAGAGGCCTTTGGGAGAAGCTGTCTATGGGGAGCGCCCCCTGCAAGCTCCAGTCCCACGGCGTTTACTTCTGACCCGGGTTACACGCCCGGCGCCGGCTCCGTGGACAGGACCTGCAGCCGCGTGCTCATTGGCAGCCTGGTGAGGCGGGTCAGGGAAAGGCTGTCCGGGCCACTCCTGGCTTCCATCCTGCCTGTGCTCTGGGAGGCAGCCCCCGGTGCCCAGTGCCCCGGAGCAGGCTGTTCAGGGAACCCCACGTGCAGATGGGATGGGAGGCCAGAGGTGCCAGGGGCCAGGCATCTGGTGCCTCCCAGGGCTGAACGCGTGTGGCTGTCGCCCCCTGCTGGCCAACGGTGGAGGGCGCTCGGCCTTCGCCTCAGACTGTGCACCTGCTTTCGGGCAGGTGTGTGTGTGTTTTGCGCCCATCGGACAGCGTGCCGGGGCTCTGCACATAACCTGGGACACCGGAACCCTTTCCATCATCCAGATGAGGAAACTGAGGCACAGAGTGGGTTGAGCCCTACTTCAGAGCCTTGCCTAAGCCCACACAGCATGGCTGGACTGGGCAGGCTCCCCGGGTGATGGCCCCAGAAACCAGCTCACCAAGTGCACCTGGTCACTGGGGTTCAGTGACTGAGAAGGAAACTGAGACTCAGAGGAGGGACGGATGTGCAGGGCACCCCGGCTCCGCAGCCTCTCCCCGGCTGCTTGTACCCACTTGCCGCTTTCTGTCTGGCCTCCAGCACTTGCTGGCCCCCGTTAGACCCACTCCCAGTGTCTTCTGACCTCCTGGCTTGTGTTGGCCCCAGGGAGCTCCATCCTCCAGTCCTCCTTCACTGGGGCCCAAAGTCCGGGGTCCCCCTACAGCTTGAGGCACACCAACTGGTCCAGTAATTCCATTGAAAAGCAGCTAGGGGCCCTGGGCAGACATGCAGCCTCTGGGCCTGACTCCAGAAGGCTGACTCCCCTCTTCACCAGGCCTTGTCCCCTGCTCCTCGGGCTGTGGAGCTGGGTGCTTGGTTGCCGTCTGAAGTGTTTGCTGAGGGGTGCCTGGGTGGTTGAGTCGGTTAAGTGTCTGCCTTCGGCTCAGGTTGTGATCCCAGGGTCCTGGGATCGAGTCCCGCATCGGGCTCCCTGCTCAGCAGGGAGCCTGCTTTACCTTTTGCCCCTCTCCTCCAAATGCTTATGCTCTCTGCTCTCTCTCTCTCTCAAATAAATAAACGCAGTCATTATTTTATTTTATTTTTAAAAAAATGTTTGCTGAATTTGGTCGCACGCCTCAGGTGGCCAGATGGGCCGGAAGCTCAGGGCTGGGAGGCAGGGCTCAGGGCTAGAAGAGTGTCCCTGCGGAGGGGGAGTGGGGGCCATGTCTAGTTAGCCCACTCACCTGGTATCGGGGGAAGGGGGCAAACCCTGGGGTTTGCTGGGAGATCTTTGCCAGCCCCCGCTCTTCTCGGAGCTGCCCTCACTTCCTCTGGGAAACAGAGAACAGACCCTGCACGTGGGCTGCGGAGAGGAGCCTGCGAGTCGGGGTGGGGTTTGGGGTGGCCCCCGTCCTCTGCCCCGGCCTGGGCCTCGCACCCCGCCTCCTCACCAGCAGCACTTGGCCCCCAGCTTCTCCTGCATTAGTCAGGGACGTCTCCCTGCCACTGGGCGCCCCTCTGGCCACCACCTGGGGGCTGCCGGGGACCAGCTAAGCCCTGTGATTCCTTCCCACAGGGCCCAGCTTGCACGGTACCTGAGCTGTCCTTGCCTCCCTCCGCTGGCTACAGCTCTGCGGGACAGAAGCCCGAGGCTGTTGTGCACGCCATGAAGGTGAGGGCCAGGCCCCGCCCACCCACACCCAGAAGCTGCTCCCGGGTCTGGGGGGGTGGGGAGTGGTGTGGGGGGGTGGCGCCCAGGTCGCTGGTGCAGTGCCGACCCTGGACCTTCCACCCTGCATGTGCTCTGAGACCGTGTGTGTCGGAGCAGCGGGGCGGTGGGGAGGGGCCCTGAGCCCCGAACACCTTGGGGGAGGGAGTTGGAGGTGTTGGTTGGCAGCAGGTTGTCACCCACCTGCCATCCCAGTGACGGGAAATGTACTTGGGCCAGGTAGGGGAGGGTGGGCAGCCCCTCTAAGTCAGAGAGGTGGGGGCAGGGCTGGGGTGGGACCAGGCTCCGGCCTCCGAGGCCCGTCCTGGCTCGCTGGGCCCCACCCACCGTGGCTGTGCCCCCCGCCCCTCACCCGTGCATGGACATAAGCGCTCTGTGCCCCGGGTGCGCAGGCCTGTCTGCACAGATAACAGCATTCTTACACTGGTGCGGGCAGTGACTGGGTCACATACACACACACTCACCCCGTGTGTGCAAGTGGGTGCTTGCTGGGGGCCCTCGGTTGGAATGAGCGCACCTGTCTGAGGGTGGCCCCCCCCAGCCTGTCCTCCTGCTCCCCGGGTACCCGGCTTCAGCTTCACCCCCAGCTGTGATGTTGGGGGTGCGGCTTACCTTGGGGCAGGTTTGCTAGGGTGAGGGAAGAGGACCCCCGCCACGGGTCTCTCCATGCCCCGCGTGCTGGCTGGGACCCAGTGGCTCGGGATCCCTGGCGTCCGTGGGCAGCCTTCCCCCTGACCCCGGGGCCGGTTCCCCGCAGGTCCTGGAGGTGCACGAGAACCTGGACCGGCAGCTCCAGGACAGCTGTGAGGAGGACCTGAGTGAGAAGGAGAAGGCCATCGTCCGTGAGATGTGCAACGTGAGGCGTTTCCCGGGGCCCGGCGGTGGGGATCTGGGGTCTGGGGCCCAGGGGTGGGGCTGCAAGCCGGGCGGGTCCCGGTGTGACCTGGAGGCCTAGGGGAAGGTACCAGAGCCTGGACAGCCCTGGCCAGTCCTCCCCCCACTGCCCGTCCCACTTCCGCCTGAGAGTGGGGGCCCTGACCTCTCCAGGCCTGTCCGTTCCCGGAGCTCTGCCCTCAGCCCCCTCGGACTGGTTCCGTTCACCCCGCATATCCCATCCCGTGGCCCCCGGTGGCCCCCAGTGGCTGCTGGCCATACAGGTGGTGTTCAGACCAGAGGTGCGGGCAGGACCCTCTGCTCTGAGAGCCTGCAAGGCTGGGGCTGCATTTGCTTCTGGAAGCTGGGCTGTTTCTGTGGCTGCCCAGGATGGGGAGCTCAGTCCTGACCTACCTGGCCGGGGTGTGTCATCTCTGGACCCTTTTGGGAAGCAGCAGGGGCAGAACCTGGGCCTCACCTGGGGCCAGGTGTTCTGTACCCACCTCCTCTGCTGCCTCCTGCCTCTCTGGGCCTCATGTGGCCTCAGTTTCCCCTCCGGGCCCCACGGCTGTGGGGACTTTTTGGGTGATTTTGAGGGGCCTGAGGCAGTGTGGGTGCCCGGGTCAGCAGGTGGGCTCGGGTGGGCTCTGCACTCACAGCTCGCCCCATCCACAGGTGGTCTGGCGAAAACTAGGGGATGCGGCCAGCTCCAAGCCCTCCATCCGGCAGCACCTGTCTGGGAACCAGTTCAAGGGGCCTTTGTAGGGCTGCTTCTCTGTGGACGTGGACTGGCTCTGCAGGGCGCCCAGGATGAGTTGCAGGCCCCTGTGTTTGTTTCCTGTGGTGAATTGTACATAGGACACTGCCCGCCGTGACCCGGCTCCCGTGGGTCCAGCACGCTGACAGCCGGGCCTCCGTCTCCCTCCTCACGCACCAGCACACGGAAGACGAGAGGCCGCCGGCCGTGCCCCATGGCAGAGCGGCCCAAACAGCCTCGTCCCTGCGCTTGGGGCCCCGCTGCCGGGAGGCTGAAGGCTGTGTGGGGGCTCAGGGCCTGGCATCCCAGGCTGGGCCCGGCCTTGGCCGAGGGGCACCTCATCAAGCCTTCTACCCGCTGGCTGCTGCCCACACTGGACAGAGGCCACCGGCAGCTGGACCTGACACAAGGGGCACCCCTTCTCACCCATCTGCGGCCTGAACCCCAGCTCACTGAGCCCGCGTCTGAGTCGTGGACAGGGAAGCTCATGGCGTCTGTGGCTGGCTGGAGGCCCTGAGGCCCTTCCTCTGGCACCCCTGCCGCCCCGCCCCGTGCCCAGCTCCCTGCTGCTTGGTTTCAGGGTGCTTCCCCCAGCCCCGAACACATCACTCGCTGCAGAGTCTCCCCTCCCACCCCGGGGCAGGTCATGCCCTAGCTTTTTGGGTCCCTCCTGCCCAGGACCCGAGGCCTCTCCATCTCATGGTTTCACATGATGGGCCAGGGAGCTAGGAGGCTGTGTGGAGAGTCTCTGGGCCAAGCCCCACGCTCTCTCTCCAGATGGGCAGCACCGGGCCGAGCTGGGCCTCTGGTGTCCCCCAGAGCCCAGCCCCAGCTGGGGTCACTGTGGACGGAGCTGCACGGGCTGGCCGGTGGGGGACTTCTGCCCTCTCTGGAAGGAGCCCGACCTGGCTCTGGCTTTAACTGGCTGTGTGACCTTCAGCAAGTCACTCAGCTTCTCCAGGCCCCTGGTGGGAAGACGAGGTCTCAGGTTCTTTGGGCCGTGCTCACCACCCGAGGCCACCAGCTGGGTTCAGCCCGGGCCTCCGTCGCGGCCCGCACGCCCGGGTGCTCCCCCCTGCTGCAGAAGTCACTGCTGGCTGGGCCGGACAGAGCCAGGGACCGAGCGGGGTCCACTGCCTTGCTGCCTCTTCACAGGTGCTGCCACCTCCCCTCTCTGAGCCTCAGTGTCCTCCACTGAGAAGGGACAGCCTCAGGCCCTCTTCGTGGGGCTCGGGATCAAATGAGACCTTCCGTGTAAATGACCATATACAAACTACAGATGAGATAGAGAAATGTTGAAATTGCTGAGGAAGGTGAGGCCCAGAGGGTGGGTGGTCGGGGCACATTACAGACGAGCTCACGGATGCTGGGAAGTCGGGGCGGCCACTGGCCGTGATGGCTGCTCGCTCCCGCCACCTCCGCTGGCTGGTGGGGCTTGGCTCCATGCCTCAAGCACTCGAAGAGCCCAGGAGGCCACTTTTGCAGCGGGCAGGCCTCACCCAGGCCCGCACGAGGGACGGGGGCCAGGCGAGGGGATGGGGGAGGCCACCCTGTTCCTAGAGCCCCAGGGGGGACTTTGTGCCATTCCCACCGCCTGTTGGTCATCGGCGCCCGTGGGTGAGTCGTACACTCTCAGGGGAAAGGCTTATAGCCCTCCTTGTGCCCAGGGAATGCTAAGTGGGTGCTGGTGGCAGCAACAGGCATGTTCCTCTTGCCCTGGGTGTTACAGGGACCTCTGGGCTCTCCCTGAAGGGAGCTTGCCAGCAGGTCAGGTGGTGAGCTCCCTCTCACTAGGGGTGTGCATCGAAAGCTAGGGAACATCCTTGGTCATGGTACCAAGTAGTTCTTGCCCTAGTGGGCAGTGAGCTGGGGGACAGAGGCTCCCCTCTGGATCTTGGGAGTCCAAAGAACCACAGAGCAGCCCGAGGTGCAGGGGTGGGTCCATTTTGGGTGGAAGCCACATCTGGGAGCCCATTTGTCATGTCTGGATCAGGCCGGCCTGGCCACCACTGAACATAAGCAATAAATCAGGGCCCTGGTATCTGCAGATCTCCTGCACACTGGCCCAGAGAAGAACAGCTTCGAAGGGACCGTCCCTGCCTCGGGAAGGTGACCCTGTCCGTCATGCTGTGGGGTACCTGGGGGTCAGGTGGGGCGTTTCTGCCTGGATCCTCCTGTGCGCCACACAGGCAGCAGAGCCAGGCGCAGACCTCTCCTTCCCACCGCTGCTCGTGTTCCTGAGCCAAGTGCGTGGGGATGGCTTTCAAGGACAGAACTGCACCCGTGACAGTCATCTAATGTAATAAGCTGTTTAAAAAAAAAAAAAAAAAGCCAGCAGCACCTCTGCCTGGCCCCACAGGGCAGGGTTTGGGTGGGTGCAGTGGGAGCCCACAGGCTAGAGGGGATCAGAGGAGCCTCACCGCAGGGACAGCCGGGGGCCAGGCGAGCATGAGTCCCAGCCCTGCCAGCAGCTCGGACGGGCGTTGGGTGATGTGGGGTGATCTCCCCTCTGGAGCCTTAGCTGTAGAAGCTCATGGTGGGGGATGGGTGTTGCTGAACTCGGTGCCCTTTCATAAAGGTCCCTTTACGTTTCATACTCTGATTCTAGATCTTGAAGCCCCGTGTGACATCTGGACTGGGGCTTCAGTTCCCACTGTGATGGATGTCACCCTTCCAGCCTCACCCCAGGTGGCCAAGCCCATCCTGGGATCAGAATCTGCTGAGCACATTTTTTTAGGGTGGCACATTTTTATCCAAAAGTTATTAGCTACACATCAGTGTTTAAACAGAAAAAGTGACCTTTCATTTTTTTTTTTTTTTCTTGGAAACTTGAGAAGAAACAAAGTACATACTACTGATTTTTTTTTTTTTTTTTAAAGGAAACAAGCTAAATGCATGAGCGGAGCGGTAGAGGTGTATATTTTTCATACTGTGGGTGGGTGGGGGGGGTATTTGTGCTGCTTTCTGGAATCGGGCTGGAACGTCTGGTTCCCAGCCCCGGGCCGTCAGCCATGCTGTTTTTTTGTGGTGGGTGCCCGCTGTGAGAACTGGGGCCGGCCCCTCGCCCGGCTCCGGGCAGAGCTGGGAGCTGTGGACCCCTGTGCCCGTTTCTACCTTCCACTGAACCACTTTGATTTGGGAGAGAAAAAGCGCTAGAACTTTTGATAGTGTGGTAAAAACACTGATTTGAACTATTTTAGTAAAAGGAGTAACAGAAGATTGTGATAGTGTATACTTTGCGCTAGATAAATAAAGGCTCTTTGTAAGCCTCTGTGGTGGGTGCGCAGTGCTTGTCTCCGGTGGGGGGGCCGCTGGGTAGAGGGCCATAGCCCTGGGGAGCACCTCGGGCATGGGGGTTCTGCCCAGTGTTGGAGACCATAGACGGCCACTCTGATGGTGCGAGTGGAAAGAAGTTTCCAATCCGAGCCCTCATGGGACCCAGGAGCCCATCTGCATGGGTGCATGTGAGAGCTCCACGCTGGTTCAGAACCACCCGGGTTCCTCCGAGGGGAGCCCATGCAGGCACGGGGTGGGGGTAAGAGCTGGTCCGTGAGGGCAGACCCCTGGGGGCGCTGCCTTGGGTGACATGGGGTCAGGTCTGGGGCTTGCGAGGCCGGTGTCCCTCTGCTGCCTGCCCCTCAGCCCCCAGGGCCAAGGGGAAGAGCTGCCTCTCGGGGCCCCACCTTCTGTGTGGAAGAAACAAAACGGTCGTTTCACAACAGGTTTATTTGGATAACTGACCGAAGGAGCCGCGTCTGTAACCAAGATGGAATTCACAGTATGTTGTTACATTCACACTTAAAAAATAGATCTCTATGTACAGGAATTTGCAAATTGATGTAAACATACATTACTTTCCAAGTACATTTCTCCCTTTCTCTCTGGAAGAAAAAGAACAAAGCCATCCAACAAGGCAACCCCTTCAAAATAAGATTAATACAAAGGATGTAAATATCTCTAAATCAACAAAGTGGTTCGTCTGACCTATTGGGTGTTGGGAAAGAACGTCACAGAATGAAAGCGATGACAACAGCCTGACTTCAGATGGAACTGGACTATTTAAAATGGATTTTCCAGGAAAAATAGGCACTGATTTCTAGAAGGAAATTCACTCCTTACTGAAGCTATTTCTTGAGCCAATATGGCTGGTTAACGTTTTCTTGAGTACAAGGAACCCAGTGCAGGACTCCACCAGCTGCGACCAAGTGTGCGGTGGGACCGAGACTGGCACTGCCCAGGCTATGCTGAAAGCCACCGGCCCCCTTCTCCAGACGTGGAGGGCCGCGGGTCCGGTCCGTTTCTTCCCATACTGCAACTCTCTAGCATTAGATAAGGTACCCTGCTGCTTACCCACTTAAACTACTCTTCAAGTTGATTAGAAAAACATTTGTTAAAAAAACAAAGGGGAAAAAAAAGGCATCACGTTATCTCATCCAGGCTGCCCGCCCTAGCCCCCCAACTGGAGGCATGCCAGGTGGGGGGATGGGTGGGGGCACAGGTGGCTGTCCTCCTGGGGGGACAGCTGGAGGTGGGTAGCTAGCAGGTGGCAGGCCCAGGCCTGGAGGAGGGTGAGGGGGGACTGCGTGGGTGGGGGGCAGGCGTGGGGGTGGGGGTGGAAAGTTGGGGTTGTAGGTGGGGGGAGGTGGGGGATAGCCAGGAGTTGGGGGAGGAATGGCAGGTGGGGGGAAGGAGGCTGGGGGAGGGGGCACTGGTGGTGGGGGCGGGTTGGGGGGGTAGACATGTGGGTGGTAGGGCAGGTGAGCTGGCGGGCCGTAGGCTGGGGGCAGGGCTCCGTAGGAGGGGCCCTCGGTCTTCATCATGGACTGCAGGCTCTGGTAACCCTCTCCGGACATGTAGGAGCTGGTGGTAGACATGCCGGTCATGTAGCTGGAGGGTGGCGGTGGCGGCGGCCGGTGTGGCAGCGGTGGCGGCTGATGCACGGGGGCTGGGTGGGCCGGAGGAGGAATCTGGACTTTGGGAAGGTCACTGGCATCCACAGGGCCCGGGGGCTCTGCCTCGCCTAAGGGAGCTGAGAGGGGAGGCTTCCGGTCTGCAGAGGAGAGACAAGTTAGTGCCTGGCCCCGGGCTGGCTCCTGGGTCTGCTTGTGCAGGGGACATGTCCACTGATGACCTCAGGGTGGGGAAGGCCACCCCGGAAGCCAGGAGCTCCACACAGCAGTTCTCATGCTCTCCCCCACCCTCCCCCCCTTTCTCGCCCCCATTATAGCACTGGTAGGGCTGCTGCTGCTCTTCCCCCAGGGCCAACTTCACAGAGAACAGCGAGCAGCCGTCCCCTCTGTGACCAGTGCCTGATGCCATCACAAAGGACCCCCCTCCACGCAGCATGGCCAGGTCTCCCTCCCTTGGTCCTCACCACTCCGGCCAAGGCAGTGCCTGCAGTGCATGGAGCCCCTCCTGCTAGTACAGATGGGAGTGGGGCCCTTTTCCCGCCTGTCTCTGCCTCTAGAGACCATGAGGCCAGGGCCACGTCACCTTACTGTCTGCAGCACCGGCCACACAAAGCCTGCGAGTTGGTCAAGTGAATGAGGCAACATTTAAAAAACACAATGAGCAAGTCTCTGACATTCCCGATGAAGCCACCAAAGGAGAAATTCTGGTTCAAGTTTACTAAGAGAAGGGAGATCAGCCCCCAGTGCGTACTCTCAGGGAGAACTGCTGAGCTTTGGGGGGCTGCCCTCCCATGGGGCTGCCCAGCGCGGCCCCCCGCTCCCTTCGTCCACAGCTTCACTGCACACATTTTCACCTGCGATTCCCCTCTGCAGTCATGACCAGACACCTGGACAAGGACACTGGGGACACTCCACCAGCGGAGGCCGATCACTGAGGAAGTGTGTTCTTTGGGTAATTCCTATGGCGGCCCAGAGTCAAAGACAAATCATAGGAGCCAAGATCTCAGGGTTCAGAGAACACAAGAAAGTGAGGGCCACGAAGGGGGTTTTGGGTCTCCTCGCACTTGGCCTCGTGTGCTCCCTGGAGCTCAGAGCAGCCCCGATCACACAGACGCGCATGTGTCATGTGCCCAGGGTGGCGCTGCGGTGTCTGCAGGGCCCTCACTGCTCCTGCCACGTGAGTGAGGACAGCAGTTCTGGTTGGCTAGGACATCTCTCAGCGCCAGCCATGGCCCTGGGGCCTGGCCTGAACGAACCAGCATGCCCAGCCACGTCAGAAGGTCAGGCATGCCCATGGAGAACTGTGTGTGGGCTCTAGGGCAGGGCCAGTGGCCTCTTACATCCGAAGCTGACTAGGGAACACAGAGTATGAACTGGAGGCCTGTGGACAAAGGGTCCACCACCTCGAATTCCTCCTGGGTGTCAGTCTAGGGCGTCTGGGTCCACGAACACGCTCGTCCGTCTTTGAGATGTCACTTCCTGTCACACCGTGCTGCTGCCTCCACAAGTCACCTGTTCACTCGCCTGTCCTCTGTAACCGAACCTGGAACGAGTGGTCTCTCCAGGTACCTGCGCTGCTCTCTTCATCCTCGCCCTGACACCTGCCACCACCGGCTGCCCTCTGAGACATCCCCGGTGACCTGCCTCTTCCTGCCTCCCACGCCTCATCAGGACCTGCGGCTCCCCGAACCGCAGACCCCTGCTCCTGCTGAGTCTTCTTTTCCATCTGCCTCCCCTCACCACAGGCCCCTATGAATCAGTGACGGGACCTCGCTGGAATGAGCGCCTGTGGCCTGGCCCACCGACCCCTCCGCTTCCACCTCTGCCTTCAGCACCTGCAGCTGCCGGACTCCACTGCGGCTCCCACCGCAGCCCTTCCGGCCCCCACTGCCTGCCACCGGTGCCTTCACCCCTCCTGCCTGCTGCCCGTGCTGGGAGCTCTGTGCGTTCTGCGGGGCTCCCGACACCATGCTCCGGCCGCTCCCGCCCCACAGTGTGCAGCTCTCCCTGCCTTGGGCTTCCCAGGACCCCACACCTCTTCTCAGCCACACCCCGGACAGGCGATGGGTCCGCGCCTGCTTACGGAGGGACGCCACGAAGCACAGAAGTGACCCGCTGTAGGTGTCTTTTTAAGCAGGCTTCATCCTGGACCGAGGACTGTAGGATTTGTCCCAAAGTAGCAAATGATGCCCCTACTTTCCCAAATCTTCTAAAGTGCTAGGACGGACCATAAGCAGAAAGAAATAGAATGTGTGGTACCTCTGCCACGGGCACACGGCGGTAGGAGCCCAAGGGCGAGCCGCTGGGTGAGGCGGGCTGGCCCAGCGCCGCTCGGAACACATACAACTCCTGCCCACCCCCTGCCTGCTCCGTCCTCCAGAGCGCTG